CTGAGCCGAAGTTGGCCACTTAACCGACTGAGCCACCCAGGCACCCCTTAATGTTTATTTTTTATTTATTTATTTATTAAAAAAAATTTTTTTTTTCAACGTTTATTTATTTTTGGGACAGAGAGAGACAGAGCATGAACGGGGGAGGGGCAGAGAGAGAGGAAGACACAGAATCGGAAACAGGCTCCAGGCTCTGAGCCATCAGCCCAGAGCCTGACGCGGGGCTCGAACTCCCGGACCGCAAGATCGTGACCTGGCTGAAGTCGGTCGCTTAACCGACTGCGCCACCCAGGCGCCCCTAATGTTTATTTTTGAGAGAGAGAGAGTGACACAGTGTGAGCAGGGGAGGAGCAGAGAGACCGGGAGACACAGAATCTGAAGCAGGCTCCAGGCTCTGAGCTGGCAGCACAGAGCCTGATGCGGGGCTCAAACCCATGAGCTGTGAGATCATGACCTGAGCCCAAGTTGGATGCCCAACTGACCAAGCTACCCAGGCGCCCCAAAAACAATGCAGCTTTTCAGGCACTTTGGTATTTCATGGAAACACAATCCTATGCCATCCCTCAGGAAGTCTTTTTCTCTGCCTTTATGGGTAAAATTGAGTTGATATCAGGGATGTCACCCTGTGTGTTTTGAGGGCTGTGCTGAGGTTAGTACGTAAGCACTCAGCTCCATGTCCTGGTTTAAGTCTGTTTGATTCTTTTCAGTTTAAGAAGGAAAGAACAGAGAATGTCATCATTATTCCCATGAAAAAGCCGTGACAATGACAAGAATGTATGAAGTATGAAGAATGATCTACCCTTAAATATCTGGAAATTTTATTTCTGCGTTTTTTTCTGGTGATACTATAGTACACGCAGTATAAATTTATAAAGGTTCTAAATTCACTGGCATCTGAAATGAGCTCATTCCTCTCACAGTCCCAGGGGAAAAATGGTGTTCTCATAGGTACCCCCGGGGCACACCCATAACCGCCTAGACACGAATGTAGAATACAGGTAGATTTTATTTTTTATTTGTTTTTTAGATTTGTTTTAGAGAGCAAGCTGGGAAGAGGGGCAGAGGAAGAGAGAGAGAATCCCACACTGAGCATGGAGCCGAACCGGGGCTTCATCCCATGTCCTTGGGATCATGACCCGAGCTGAGACCAAGAGTTGGACGCTCAACTGACTGAGCCACCCAGGTGCCCAATACAGGTATCTTTTAATAATCTGCTTTCCTCATCTATTCTTGAAAATTACAGAAACACTGGGCACCTGGGTGGCTCAGTCGGTTAAGTGTCTGACTTCAGCTCAGGTGATGATCAAACGATTCGTGGGTTCGAGCCCCATATTGGGCTCTCTGCTGTCAACATGGAGCCTGTTTGGTATCCTCTGTCTCCCTCTCTCTCTCTGCCCTTCCCTGATTCACACGCATGCTCTCAAAAATGAAATAAACATTTAAAAATTTTTTTAAATTTAATACAGAAACATTGAACAAAGGGCAGATGTTATAACAGGTATTGATGAAAGTTTTGGTTACAATGCAACACATCTTTAAAAATTTTTTTTAATGTTTATTTATTTTTGAGAGAGAGAGAGAGAGAGAGAGAGAGAACAAGTGGGGGAGAAACAGAGGGAGACACAGAATCCGAAGCAGGCTCCAGGCTCTGAGCTGTCAGCACAGAGCCTCATGCGGGGCTCAAACTCACAAACCATGAGATCATGGCATGAGCTGAATTTGGACGCTTACCCACTGAACCACCCAGGCACCCCACAATGTAACACATCTTAGACACTCTTAAAGCAAAGTTGGAAGTCTGTTTAGACTGCAGGAACCCAGAAAGTATGAGCTGTATTACAGCTCTCTAAAACAAATCTGAAAAACAAATTCTACTGATCAGCATTTCTGTTGGAATAGTATCCTGTAATATTCAAACAGTAGTGGAATGAAAGTCCTTGTGTGTCTTCATTTCCTGCTCACTTTCTGGTTTAAAAAACATAATGTTATTAATAAATGTGCTGTTATAAAACTAGCATGAAATAATAGGAAAGGGAAAAATAAATCACCCTTTCACCTATCAAAATAATCACTATTCAGTGTGTGTGTGTGTGTGTGTGTGTGTGTATGTACAAACTAATTGTGATTAGTATTGATAGTTTCTGCTCAATTTAATTTTTGTATTTTTTAAATTTTTTTTTCCAACGTTTATTTATTTTTGGGACAGAGAGAGACAGAGCATGAACGGGGGAGGGGCAGAGAGAGAGGGAGGCACAGAATTGGAAACAGGCTCCAGGCTCCGAGCCATCAGCCCAGAGCCTGACGCGGGGCTCGAACTCACGGACCGCGAGATCGTGACCTGGCTGAAGTCGGACGCTCAACCGACTGCGCCACCCAGGCGCCCCAATTTTTGTATTTTTTAAAGTTTATTTATTTTGAGACAGAGTGAAAGAATCCCAAGCAGGCTCTGTGCTGTCAGCATGGTGACTGATGTGGAGCTTGAACTCATCAACCATGAGATTACGACCTGAGCCGAAATCAAGAGTTGGACGCTCAACTCACTGAGCCACCCAGGCGCCCCTCTGCTCGATTTTTAATGTATCATAATTGTCCATGTTGTATCTTCATAAATTCTTAATAAATTAACTCATGTTTACTTATGATAGAAATTCACATAAATTGTAAAAACTGTGAAAAATATAAAGAAAGCAAATCATCCTGTTCATGGTCCAGATAGAATCTCTTAATAATGTATTTTGAGATACTGAAGCATAGAAACACTTAACTTTTCTCACTGGACTTAATATCATGAACAATTTTTATTTGTAAAAGAAAAGTACAATCAATTTGCTTATCTTCCCAGTCCATTCTAGTCCAGATCTGCCATAATCCTGAGTTGGCAGCTTGCCACGTGATCCTTCTCTGACCACTGAGGATTGGACCAAGAGGGGACCTGTAAGCCAGGGGTGGTCATTTGGATACCCCCAGAAGTTTGATACTGGATCAGATTCTGGTTGGTCTCTGTTAGGCATTTGGATAAGAAACTAATCTAGAGCTCGAACCATTTTTATGATCACATAAAAACTAAATAGAAACAAATAGAGACAGGAGACAGGAGAAGCAGGTCTGGCTCTCAGCTTCTGAGGTCCACTGTGCTCCCAGCTGGTCCTGGAATCCAGGGAATACCCTTGTTTCCTTCTGTTAAAGGTTTCTTTTAAGTTAGTTTGACTGGGTTTCTGAACCTTGCCCACAAACGAACAAAAACATCCCTGATTAAGACAAACAGATAACCAAAAGTCTTTATGGAAGATAACTTTTAATATAGGTGGCACAATATTCTATGATATATGTTCCCATTGTGAGTCATTTAGTTAATAATTCTGTCACCGTAAACAGTATTTCAGTGAACATCCTTGTACATACAGCTTTGCTCACTTGTACAATTATTTTTCTTCGTTCAATTCCTGTAACTGGACTTAATGAGGCAAAGGGGTAAGCGTCTTTTCTTTTTTTCTTTTCTGTCTTTCTCTTCCCTTCCCACCCCACCCCCAACCCGCCCCCACCCCTCTTTCTTAAGTAGACTTCATGCCCAGCACAGAGCCCAATGCAGGGCTTGAAATGACACCCTCAGATCAAGACCTGAGCTGAGATCAAGAGATGCTTAACCCACTGAGCTATCCAAGCACCTGATAGGCACATTTTCTAAGGCTTTTGATTCATTTGCCAGGTGGTCCTCCAGAAAGGTTATACTAATCTACACCTCATGTTAGCAGTCTGTGAAAATGCCCACATTTTTCGTACCCACATCAACCCTGGGAATTACTCTTTTGATTTGCCAAGCTGGTACCTTTTAAGTGGTTTTACCAAATATTTTTGCTGTCAAAGTTGAACATCTTTTTATATGTTAATTGGTCAGTTATAATTCTGATTTTGTAAACAGCCGTGTTCACATTTTTCTGGATTTTTCTGTTAGATTTTTCTTTTACTTTAAACAGCAGTGCCCTTAAAAATTAACCAGGGGATCTGTATATAAAATTTTAAAAGCACATGCTCTTTAACAGATCAATTCCAATGTGTAGCATTTAACCTGGGATTATAAGCATGTAAAGATACTGAATGTTCTCTGCACCATTACTTACTGTATACACACACACACACCTACATATACACACACATATGTGTATACATGTACACATAAAACAGGGATAGTTAGGTAAATTATGGTGCACCCATACAATGGAATATTATTTAGCTGTTAATAAGCTGGTATGGAAAGATCTCCCAGCTATCTTTTTTTTTTTTTTTTAATTTTTTAACGTTTATTTATTTTTGAGAGAGAGACAGAGCATGAATGGGGGAAGATCAGAGAGAGGGAGACACAGAATCCGAAACAGGCTCCAGGCTCTGAGCTGTCAGCACAGAGCCCGACGTGAGGCTTGAACTCAGGGACCGCGAGATCATGACCTGAGCCGAAGTCGGCCGCTTAACCGACTGAGCCACCCAGGCGTCCCATGATCTCCCAGCTATCTTAACAGAAAAAGCTGAGGTGCAAAATCCTATGGTGATCCTATAGGTCCATATTCACTCAATAAATATTTATTGAGTGCTACTATGTGGCTGGTGGCGTCCTGGGAAAACACACACACAAAATATTAACAATGGTTGACCTTAGGGATGGTGCAGTTTTCATTTTCCAGTCTCTATGCAACCTGAGTTTCTATAATCTGCATACTTAAATTTTAAGAACTTGTGCTTCTTATTTTGTAATTGTTCATTTATCTGTCTAACCAGCAGCCTGAGAAGATCCTAAACAGTCTCAGTTTTGCGTTTGCCGTCTTGTTTTTAATTGAAAAGATTTACAGAGAGGAGGGTGGGCGCGGGGCGTCGGGACGCGCCTGCGCGGGGCGGAAGGAGCGACGGGGTCCTCCCGGCGCACCAGAGAGAAGCGCGGCCGCCATCCTAGAGAGGCCGGGACCGCGATCCTAGAAAAGCCGAGACTCGACTGCCCGTGTGGTGGAAGAAAGAGCTGTGGAGACTCGGCCTCGGGGTTGCTGGGAGGCTGGCGCTCGCGAGACGGTGACGTCTTCGTCGAGTGCGGTGCTTGGGCTTTTGGTGGACTGACCGGTAGTCGGACGAGTACGTATTGGGCGACAGCCGAGTGCCTCCGGGGTGCCTGAGGCCACCTCGGGGGGTGGGTGGGGGCCCTCGGTGCATTCTGCACCCGCCGCGCGGACCGGGCACCAGGTGGGCGCTGGACCGTGTGGAGGGGAGCCCCTGTCCTCTGGCGTCCGGCGAAGGGGGACCGGGTGGGCGTGGCTGGTCGGGCTCGCTCTGCGGTTTTCCCTGTGTGGACTTGAGGTTCAGGGAGGTGTTTGCGCTGGGACTTGGGAAATCGGCCCTCCTGGAAGGGCAGTCCTGGCCGCGAAGGAGAAAGCGGGCGGATAGAAATTGAGCAGTCAGCGTGGCAGGGATGCGGAGTTTGCAAAGGCGAGGGCTGTCTAGGGGGCCCGGGTTGTCTTTCATTCCGGGGTTAACATTCCTGCAGGATAAAGACGTGCTCAGATGTCTATCCAGTGACAGACAAACCAGTAAAAGCCCAGGGAAGGGCAGGTCCTGGGGAGTGTGAATTTAGTTCAAAAGGAGCAGTTGAAACTCTTTGGTGGGGGAGATGCGTTGAACAAGGTCCCAACTGTACTTTAGGAAATATTAACCCATAATAGAGTGGACTGTGGGGCAGGGATACCACACAGAAAATTACTGTATTGCAAATTTTATTGCCATGTAAATGGTAATAGGGGAATAAAAGGGAAGTAATCGCTGTTAGAGGCGTTTTGGAGGAAGAATTGGCTGGACTCAGAATAATATTGTACAGGGGCTGGTTTTAAGCCTGAATGCATGGAGGATGGTGGTGATGCCAATGGAAATATGGGGGAAACCGTGAGTTCAGCTTTGAGGGCACTTTGATTTCAGTTTGGGATGTGCTGAAATTACGACCCAGGAGAGGCTGGAAGCTGGAGGCATCCTACTGTCATTTCAAGACGTGAGTCTGGAATGTAAAAGGCAGGTGGAGTCAGCCAGAGATTTGAGTGTTCCTGGAATAGAACTGAAATTGTGATTAATGAGATCATACAAGGAGAAAGTAAGGAGAGAGAGAGAGAGAGAGAAGAACCTGAAGCATGTGTTTCAGTGGTCTATTCTTAACATTAAACAAATTAAAAATTAAAACACCAAAGTTAGTGGCTCAAAACCACCTCAGCTTATTACTTTTCATTGATTTTGTGGGTTGACTGGGCACTTCTAGGGCTGGACTTACCTGTGGTTGCACTCAGGTGGTGAATCAGCTGGGAACAAGGCCCCCGCTGGGCTTTAGTTGGGGGCACCTGGGTTCCAATCCACATGACCTATGCATGGCAGTCTCGTGGCAGTGTGCCAAGAGCTGTAAGCACTTCCTCTTGCAGAACGATTATTCCCGTGTTCTCTTGGCCAAAGCAAGTCACAGGCCGGCATAGATTCAAGGGAAGGACAAGTAGACTCCACCTTTTGATGACAGAAGTGACAGAATCTCATCATACGAAGTTTTAGAGGACAGGAAACTTTGTAAACAGTCTACCTCCCCTGCATTTAAGGTGGAATATTCTGTGGGAAGTACACAGATGAGAGAGTATGTTAGGATTCCTCCACGGATGAAATTCTCTCCAGCTGGAGTGTAGGCTGCTCAAGCATCTTCTTGTTTACTCTGCTTCCCTCACATCCCTTACCTCCTGGATCAACCCCCCACTCAGGGTTCAAGATATACTTCTCATTAACTTCACTGGTAGTATAGGCAAGCAGGCTCAGTTTCTGAGCATGACTTACAGTGGGGACAAAAATACAAGTATGTTTCATAGAATTTTGAAGCTCTTCGAATTTACTGATCCATTTTTAAAATTATTTTTATTTTTTTAAGTTTACATCCAAGGTAGTTAGCATATAGTGCAGTAATAATTTCAGAAATAGAATCCAGTAATTCATCTCCTACATATAACACCCAGTGCTCATCCCAACAAGTGTCCTCCTTAATGCCCCTTGTGCATTTAGCCCATCCCCCCACCCAAAACCCCTCCAGCAACCCTGTTTGTTCTCTGTATTTAAGAGTTTCTTATGTTTATGCTAACTAACTTGGATGTAAATTTTAAAAAATAACATTTAAAAAACAGAGTTTCTTGGGGCGCCTGGGTGGCGCAGTCGGTTAAGCGTCTGACTTCAGCCAGGTCACGATCTCACGGTCCGTCAGTTCGAGCCCCGCGTCAGGCTCTGGGCTGATGGCTCAGAGCCTGGAGCCTGTTTCCGATTCTGTGTCTCCCTCTCTCTCTCTGCCCCTCCCCCGTTCATGCTCTGTCTCTCTCTGTCCCAAAAATAAATAAACGTTGGGAAAAAAAAAATTTAAAAAACAGAGTTTCTTATGTTTTGTCCCGCTCCCTGTTTTTATATTAACTTTTGCTTCCCTTCCCCTGTGTTCATCTGTTTTGTATCTTAAATTCGACATGAGTGAAATCATATGATATCTGTCTTTCTCTAATTTCACTTAGCATAATACCCTTCAGTCCAATCTTGCAAATGGCAAGATTTCATTCTTTTTGATCGCCAAGTAATAATACTCCATTGTATTCTTTATCCATTCATCAGTTGATGGACATCTGGGCTCTTTCCATAATTTGGCTATTGTCGATAACACTGCTATAAACATCGGGGTGGGTGTGCTCCTTCAAATCAGCATTTTAATATCCTTTGGATAAATACCTAGTGGTGCAATTGCTGGGTCGTAGGGTAGTACTATTTTTAATTTTTTGAGGAACCTCCATACTGTTTTCCAGAGTGGCTGCACAAGTTTGCATTCCCATCAGCAGTGCAAAAGGGTTGCCCTTTCTCTGCATCCTTGCCAACACCTGTTGCCTGAGTTGTTAATTTTAGCCATTCTGACAGGTGTGAGGTGATATCTCATTGTGGTTTTGATCTGTATTTCCTTGATGACGAGTGATGTGGAGCATTTTTTCATGTGTCGGCCATCTGGATGTCTTCTTTGGAAGTGTGTGTTCATGTCTTTTGCCCATTTCTTCACTGGATTATTTGTTTTTCAGGGTGTTAACTTTGATAAGTTCTTTATAGATTTTGGATACTAACCCCTTATCTGATCCGTCATTTGCAAATATCTTCTCCCATTCTGTCGGTGGCCTTTTAGTTTTGCTGATTGTTTCCTTTGCTGTGCAGAAGCTTTTTATTTTGATGAGGTCCCAGTAGTTCATTTTTGCTTTTGTTTCCCTTGCTTCCAGAGATGTGTCGAGTAAGAAGTTGCTGCGGCCAAGGTCAAAGAGGTTTTTGCCTGCTTTCTTCTCTAGGATTTTGATGGCTTCCTGTCCTACGTTTAGGTCTTTCCTCCATTTTGAATTTATTTTTGTGTATGGTGTAAGAAAGTGGTCCAGGTTCATTCTTCTGCGTGTCACCCTTCAGTTTTCCCAGTACCACTTGCTGAAGAGGCTGTCTTTATTCCATTGGATATTCTTTGTCAAAGATAAGTTGGCCAGAGGTTTGTGGGTCCGTTTCTGGGTTGTCTCTTCTGTTCCACAGATCTGAATGTCTGTTTTTGTGCTGTTACTGATCCATTCGTATGCCTCAGACGTTCGTTTGGAAAACATTCTGAAGTGTGAACCTGGGCTAAGTGAACCTTTTCCTTTAAGTCTTTAGGCTCACCATGGATGAAGCTGTGCCAGGCCCCGCACCTGAAGGTGCAGACAGCCGTGTGACAGTGAAGGAGGAGGACTCCCCCTGGGAGCAGGTGTGCAGCTCTTGGGAAAGCAGCTGCCACGCCCAGGAGCTGTGCCGCCTGCGCTTCCGGCAGTTCTCCTACCGGGATGTGACTGGGCCCCGCCAGGCTCTGGCCCAACTCCACGAACTCTGCCGCCAGTGGCTGCGGCCCGAGACCCACAGCAAGGAGCAGATCCTGGAGCTGCTGGTGCTGGAGCAGTTCCTGACTGTCCTGCCCGCGGAGCTCCAGGCCTGGGTGCAGGAGCACCATCCGGAGAGCGGGGACGAGGTGGTGACGGCGCTGGAGGATCTGGAGAAAGACACAGGACAGCAGGTTGGAAGAGGATGTGTACGGTGGCATGGGAGGAGAAGTGGGGAACGTTTGTCTATTAATTTTTAACTTTTTTTTTAATTTTTAAAAATAATTTATAACTTACAGAAGTATCTGGGAAAGTAGTACAGAGAACTGCTGCTCACCCAGACTCCCTAGTTGTTGACACTGTGTCATGATGTGCCTGCTCTTGTGCAAGCCACCCCCTTTCCTCTCTCTCTGCGTGTCACACACACTTACACACTCATGCAGTATTTTTTCGACCATTTGAGAGTTATTTGCAGATACTACACTTCTTTATCTCTGAACACTTCAGAGTTCAGTGTGTATTTCTGATGAATGAGGGCGTTCTTTTGTATAACTGGAATACAAAGATCAAGTTTTGGGAAATTAAAATTATTATGGACTATCATCTACACAGTAGTCCTTGTTCGCGTTCTGCCAGGTCACCTCCGTAGTGTTCTCTGTGGCAGTTTTACTCCGATCCAGGATACAGTCCAGCAACCTATGTTGCATTTAATTGCCTCTTTAGTCTCCTTGAATCTGGAACAGTGACTTCGTCTCTTTTTTTTGTTTTTTTAAAGTTTATTTATTTTGAGAGAGAGAGTGTGTGTGTAAGCAGGAGAGGGGCTGAGAGGGAAGGAGAGAATCCCAAGCAGGCTCTGCGTTGTCAGCCCAGAGCCCAATGCAGGGCTGGAACTCACGAACTGTGAGGTCATGACCTGAGCTGAAATGAAGAGTGGGTCACTTAACCAACTGAGCCACCCAGGTCCCCCACTTGGTCTTTCCTTGTCTGCCACGACATTGATATTTGTCTTACATTTTCTCTTGATAAGGTCCGTGTTGTTCCTTTTGCCTAGAATGCCACAGAAGATATGTTTGCCTTAGTGCATCACATCAGGGAGGCACATGGGGATGGGTTGTTGCATTACTGATGAGCTTAAGGTGGTGTCTGTCAGATTTCTGTTTCCTAAAGTTACCACTTTCCCCTTGGTAGTCCCCTAAGTAGCCTGTGGGAGCTGTCCTGTGATAGTCTCCATCCGCCAGTGTGAGCATCCACCTGGGTTTGTTTGGTTTTCTTTCTGGGCGGGCATGCTTGGTCCGCACTGTCCTCGTTTGCCGCGTATCCCCAGCACGTAGAACACAGTCCGAGTCTCCGTAGGTGTGCAGTCCCTCTTTACCAAATGGGTGGACATCTCGGTCTGCTACTCTCTTATTTACTGCTGCTTTGAAAGATTAAATGGGGCTTGTCTGGTATTTCCTTGAAGATGTCCCTAACTGCTGTTCAGTCCTGTTCCCACCAGGATGCATTTTCAAGGTAAATCTTTTATCCCCAGGCTTCTGTCTATACTCGGGGACAGGACATGCACTCGCTGGTGACAGAGTATCAGGGAGCCTCTTCAGAATGTCAGAGCCTCCAGCTCCTGCCCAGGGTAACTGCCTTGAAGTGTGAACCTCCAGAGCTCTGCCAAGAGAACCCCGGAGAAGTGAGTGGTGAGTGCCAGTGCGTGTGTAGTACGAAAATTGGGAGCAGACACTGACAGGCGCTTGTTTATCTGTGTCTTTCAGTTTTTATATATAGGTGGGTATATATCTATGTCTATATTCATGTCTATATATGTGTGTGTGTGTATCTATCTGTCTATATTTTTTCCCTACCCTGTATCTAAGCAAGCTTCTAAAAACATTTGGAATTGTAAAATGTTAGGATCCTGAGATCTTGTCCAATTCCCCTCCCAATAGTTGGGAAAACCAAAAGTCAGGCTGTTTAATGACTTGCCCAGGGTCATCAGAGGCAGAGCAACATCTAGAATTCAAGTCACCTGACCTTCTGACCGGAGGTCTCTCTGCTACTTACCTTTGCTCTACATGTCTAATTCTACACTTGTGGGTGTTTTCAATATTTACTTGGCAGCTTTCCACAAATTTACCTTTTTCCCCACAATAACATTGTCTTCAGTATCCTCCCTGCGTCTAACCTGGAGTCATTTAAAAAAATTTTTTTTTTAACGTTTATTTATTTTTGAGACAGAGAGAGACAGAGCATGAACGGGGGAGGGTCAGAGAGAGGGAGACACAGAATCTGAAACAGGCTCCAGGCTCTGAGCTGTCAGCACAGAGCCCGACGCGGGGCTCAAACTCACAAACCGCGAGATCACGACCTGAGCCGAAGTCGGCCGCTTAACCGACTGAGCCACCCAGGCGCCCCAACCTGGAGTCATTTTAAATGCAGCTGTGGGCTTAAACAGGTTCTCTCTGTTCTCCATTGAAGTGCATTCTTCTGTGTGCAGGGTCCCCCCACTTTCCATACCCAGGCTTCACCTCCAGGAAACCATCCCAACTGTTGCTTATTGTTGAGCTCTGTGCAGGCATCTGGCACAGTGTTTGAGGTCTGCAGATGGATTGATAACAGACAGAAGTACACAGAAAGTTCAAAGAAGAGACCTTAGAATTCCACCGTGCAGTGTTTTTTAACCTTCTCATGAGGGGTGCTACTAGTTTTTCCCCGGAAGTTATTGAAAACTTGACTCTCTTCCCTGGAAAATGTAGGTACATGCAAAATTATGCATATGATTTCAGAGGGTTCGTGGTTTACCCCAGTCACGGTTTACCATGGTTTACCAAATTCGCTACGTTGGTGATCTGTGAATACTGATATTTTGACAGTAAGTGTAGAATGAATAAACGGTTCATATAATAAATCACTAGAGGGAGATGAAATGTATACGGCTCATATTACTTACGGTGTTTACTCATATCATGTAGCATGAATAGGACTTGATACTTCCCTGCTTACTTGGCTGATGGTTCTGTCATATTTCTGCAGCTGTGAAAAACCAGCATTGCGTGAAGCCCCAGAATAGTTTGTTTATCTGAAGAAGTTGAGAGGTAGTGGGGAGCCCCACAGTGAGCAGACATTCCTACTTACCTATGAGATGATGAATATACACCTACTAAAAGCAATTTTGTTTTGACTGGAGAGGAGAGAGGGGTAATGAACAGAGGTGGGCAGTTGTCAGAATGGTGAGGATGGTAATTGACAAATAGGTAACAGTGATCATAGGATGTAAGATTCTTTTGTGTAAGTGAATGCTTAAAAACAGCATGACATGGCTCACAAACTGGACCCCAGCCGCATTGTGGGCAGGACAGTGGCCTCTTGTGGTTTTCTGTGTCCCCAGAGGGAGGCACCGCTGCTGTGGTAGGTGTTATCCAGATGAGAATGCTCTCTGGGCCTTCCGGAAGCATGCTTTCTCATTTTCAAAGACTTTTTTTTTTTTTTTTAATATATATCCTTTTAGCTCCTTCCGAATATTTAAAGACTCTAGCTAAAGGCCTACCTATCAGTTATAAACCCAGCACATTTCTCCAGGTTACCTGACAGTACATGACTTAGACCAATTTCCCAGACTAGTGGTGTTTCTTCCTCCTGTGCTGGGATTTTCAAGGGATAGTAAGTTAACCAGTGTGGCTGGAGGGTAGGGTTTGTTTGCAAAAGAGTGTGTGGGAGAAATGGGGAAGTCACGTGGGAACGTTTTGTGTTATTAAAGTTTGGACTGTCATTGAAAAGTTGGGTGCCATAGAAGCCTTTTTAAAAAAACTTTTTTATAATGTTTTATTTTTGACGGGGGGGGGGGAGGCCCAGAGAGAGGGAGACAGAATCCCAAGCAGGCTCCAGGCTCTGAGCTGTCAGCACAGAGCCCTATGCGGGGCACGAACCCACAAACATCTCATGACCTGAGCTGAAGTTGGACATTCAACCAACTGAGGCACCGAGGCGCCCCAGCCTTTTTTTTTTTTAAATCAAAAATATGATTTACAGCAATTGTAGTGTGTGTGTGTGTGTGTGTGTGTGTGTGTGTGTGTGTGTGTGGTATTCTCATCTGTCATGGGACACTAGAATTAAATGAAAACTCACGAGTACTGTATTTTTCCCAGTCTCTCAATGCTCAGTTGTGATAGTCTTAGTGTCAGACACATTGTTGAGTGTTTGCATGTTGGTGGAGGAGTAGAAGGGACCTTGAGGTATCACCCGATAGACCGCACCTGAAGCCTGCATCCTCCTGTTCTGTCTTGAGCAGGGATGCACAGCAGCAGATCAGTGTGGTGTCTGTATTGAACTTTCCCGTATATGAAAACATCCCTCTGCCTCTTTCTCGGGCTTAACCCTAATGCTCTTCCACCTGAGGAGGATGATAAGGAGCAAACACAAAGTCTGATTTGACCTTGGCTATCTCAGATTTTCCATTGTCTTTGTTTTCTTTCCTCACTGCATTTTATGTTTGCCCCTTTCCATTTTCTTTCCCATCCTCCCCTTCTCAATATAGCCCCTTCTCTGTCAGCAGACCTGTTTCACATTGTGCTTTTTTAGTTGAAGGGTTTGGCATGTATGTGTTGTTGGGGGAAGTTGGGGGTAAGGTCGCAACAGTGCATCAGGGACAAGCCTGTTTTTCCAGCAAGCTTTATTAGTTCCTCTAGATACGAAACAACACCAGCGAAAAGATGCTATGGTGATCCATTGTGTCTGGAGCAAAAAAAAGTGATGCTACAGCCTTGGATAAATTCTGGGTTAGAATGATCATGTCTTCTTCATTTAGTTTTGTGTAGCTGGTATTAAGCTGATCTGAAAATTAATAATACATGACCTCAGGGGGTCTTGCAGTTTTACAAAGAGCTTTTGTGTTCATTCATTTGATCTTCACCAGCCCTGTAAAGTGGACTATGTTTTCCCCACGGCACAGATAAGGAATGGGAGGCTTAGCAAGACTGACAGGCCCAAGGTCACACAGCTGCAGCTGTAACCTAGTTCTTTTTTTTCTTTTCTTTTAATTCCAGTGTAGTTAACATACAGTCTTATATCAGTTTGAGGTATATAATACAGTGATTCAACAATTTTGTGTATTAGTGCTCACCACGGTAAATGTTACTCTTAATCCTGGTCACTGATTTCACCCATTCCCCCACCCACCTGCCCTCTGGTAAATGTCTGTTGTTCTATGTATTTTTTTTTTTTTTAATGTTTTATTTTCAGAGAGAAAGCAAGCAAGCGAGAGCTCAAGCAGGGAAAGGGGCAGAGGACAGAGAATCCCAAACAGGTTCCATCCCGTCAGCATGGAGCCCTATGCAGGGCTCAATCCCACAAACCCTGAGATCATAACCTGAGCTGAAATCAAGAGTCGGACACTTAACTGACTGAGCCACCCTGTTCTATGTAGTTAAAAGTCTTTTTTTTTGTTTTTCTATGTAGTTAAGAGTCTATGTAATTAAGAGTCTTTTTTGGTTTTTCTCTTTTTTTCCCTTTGTTTTGTTTCTTCTATTCCACATGAATGAAGTCATATGGTATTTGTCTTTCTCTGTCTTATTTTGCTTAGCATAACACTATCTAGCTCCATCCATGTCACTGCAAATGGCAAGATTTCATCCTTTTTATGACTGAGTAATATTCCTGTGTGTGTCTGTGTGTGTTGGTGTGACTCCATTCGTGTGTGTGTGTGTATACTTCTATATGCGTGCCACATCTTTATCCATTCATCTATCAGTGGACACTTGGGCTGTTTCCATAGTTTGGCTATTGTAGACAATGCTGCTATAAACAGAGGGGTGCATATATCCTTTTGAATGAGTGTTTTCATATGCTTTGGGTAAATACTCAGTAGTGCGATTACTGGATCATAGGGTAGTTCTATTTTTTATTTTTTAAGGAACCGCCATACTGTTTTCCACAGTGCCTGTACCAGTGCATTCACCACCAACAATGTGGGAGGATTCCTTTTTGTCCATATTTTCACCAACACTAGTTGTTTCTTATGTTTTTGAGTTTAGCTATTTTCACAGGTGTAAGGTGATACCTCATTGTAGTTTTGATTTGCATTTCCTGATGATAAGTGATGTTAAGCATCGTTTCATGTGTCTGTTGGCCATGTGCATATCTTCTTTGGAGAAATGTCTGTTCGTGTTTTCTATCCATTTATTGGATTATTTGTTGGTGTTGAGTTGTGTAAGTTCTTTGTATTTTTTGGATTTTAATCCGTTATTGGACATGCTATTTACAAATGTCCTCTCCCATTCAGTAGGTTGTCTTTTAGTTTTGTTATTTCCTTTGCTGTGCAGCTTTATCTCCATATAGTCCCAATAGTTTATCTTGCTTTTATTTTCCTTGCCTCCAGAGACCTAGGTAGAAAGATTTTGCTACAGCCCTGTCAGAGAAATTACTGCCTATGCTCTTGTCTAGAATTTTACGGTTTCGTGTCTCAAATTTAGGTCCTTAATTTATTTGGGGTTTATTTTTGTGTATGGTGTAAGAAAGTGGTGCAGTTTAATTCTTTCACATGGAGCTGTCTGGTTTTCCCACCACCATTTGTTGAGAAGACTGTTTCTCCCATTGCATATTCCTGCTTCCTTTGTCAAAGATGAATTGACCATATAATCATGGGTTTATTTCTGGGCTTTCTACTATATTCCATTGATCTATGTCTGTTTTTGTGCCAATATCA